CCTGCGCCCCCGGCCCCGCGCCATGTTTGAGAAAGAGCAGGAGCGAGCCAGAGGCCGGGCCCGGCCCGCGCGCCCCGCCGCCGCCAGCCCGGTACTGCTTACCCTTCGCCCCCGGGAGCAGCGTCGCCGCCGCCGCCACCAGCATGAGGAGAAGCAGCTGGTGACGCGGAGCAGCGGCCGCCGCCTCCATGGTCCCGCCGCCACCTCCTGTGGCCCGGCCCGGCCCGGCCGCCGCTTCGCCTCACCAAGCCTTGCCTCGCCCCACCTCCCCGCCGCAGCAGCGGCCTCGCTTCGGCCCTTTGTAACTGCTCCGGGGACGCGCGCCCATTGGCTGCTGGGCTCCCGCCGGCCCCGCCTCCCGCCGGCCTCGGGCGCCCCAGCGGGACCCAGCCAGGAGCCCCGCCCGCCGGCCCGCCAGGCAGCCAATGCGGAGCCGCGGGCGCCGGGCTCTGACCACGCCCTCGCACCCCGGGGGTCGGGCTTCCAGACCGCTGGTCGGACCAGAGCTGGCCTCGGCTGGCACTTGGGGGCAGGGTCTGACCGACCGTGTGACTGTCTGTGAATTGCTTTGAAAAAAGGCTGCTACGGCTCCACGGCTCTTTCTTCCGCCTCCAACCCACCCCGACCCCCCATTCACTGCCCCGAACCCCGCACGCCACCCAAACCTCCAGTATTGCAGGCCTCTACGTCTGTCCCAACTTTCCCTCTCCGGACCCACGCCACAACTTTCAGCATCCCCCTCCCCAAGACCCTTCTTCGGTGCCTCTCACATGTGCCCCAGTCCACTGTTTCTTCCTGCTCTCACGCCAACCTAATACCCGTCATCAAATTCCTGGCCCAAAAGTCATCAGATCCCAGCCTAAGACTCCAGATCCTCAACTCTAAAAGACACATCCCTGTTAGTATCCTCGGGTCTCTCTCGAAAAGAGACCCTGCATAGGACCCAAGCCACTACCCTGCCTTTTCCCTTTCTTGCTCCAGGTTGGAACCAGAGTCCCTCACTACAAAGAAGGTGGATTCTCTACTTAGCACTCTCTTCGTCGGGCGGAGGGGGAGCAGTCATCTTTACTTTGAGTCGTCTCTGACACGCCTGTGTAACAGTTCTGAGGTGTCACTAAAAACCCAAATAAACTCAACTACGTTTTCATTCTGAATTCCTAACTTACTGTGAGACGCTCCACCCACCTTCCCTCTGGGATGCCAAAATGAGCTCCAGATTTGTAATTCTTCCTGTCAGACTAGCCTGTCTTCAGACACAAACACAGTCTAGGAGGCTGCTGCATAGCACGGAGAACGTTTGCCCGCAGAACTGTTTAAGGAGAAATTTTTATTGTCTGCGAGATTTGAACTCGGAATTAAATAAAGCTTGGTAGCTAGAATCAACCAGTGCTTGGTATCGATTGGTAAATTACTTTAGAACTCCGTGCTGAGCGTTCTATCCACCTGCAGAGTTCCTTAGTAAGCTGTAAAGAGGAGGGTGAGGGACAGGAGCCCTCATGGCTACCATACTTTCTTGATCAAGCAAGCAGTTAACTTTTCTGAGTTTGCAGGCTCAGAGGGTGCAGCCTTTTTACTGAGCCAGCAACAAGCTCCCCTCTGGCTCAGGCTCACCAAGAGGGAGACTGTCTCTTTGCTGCCCAATTCTCAGTATTTTGCATAAAATAAGAGCTCAGGAGATTTTTATTGTATGAATGAATGAATGAATGAATGAATGATTCATTTCCGAAAGTGTTTTCCTCTGCCCATTTCTAAAATGCAAATAATAATAGTATCTACCCATATTTATATATAAAATAGATTGAACCACATGTCTTCAGCCCCATAAATGATGTAATGTTTCTGGAACAGTGCCTGGGACATAGTAAATATTTAGTTCATGCCATTTCCTTTGCCCATCCCCTTCCAGTTCTGTAGGACTCCAGTCAGCATTTGTGTTAATGTTCATCTAGGCTTTTGCCTTGCAAAGCCTATGTTAGTCAGTGTGAGGGTCTGTTCTATAACATACCTCCAGTTCCTCAACATTTTCCATGGAGTTGAGTGTGTTCAATAAGAAAGCAAGGAACAGGAACAAGAAACACTATTTTTAAGTTTTATCTTCCTGATACTAGGAGGAAATTTCCATGAGCCACAGATCCATAAATAAACCGTGATAGAACAGAACAATAAATTCTAAGTTTAAATGCGTAGCTCTCAGGCTTTAAAGTCATCTGCAGAGCTTTGACTAATGCAGACTCCGGGATCTGGCCCTAGGAAGCCTGCTTCAGTCCCTCCAGAGGCAGTCAGTCTAGGACTCTGCATCTGTAATTACCAGCTCGGGTCAGTCTTCTGCCTGTGGCACCAGGCCCACTTCAAAAGACAGTGGTTTACTTAAAAGTCAGCAAGTAGGAATGAATAAGCCTATTTGCCTTTTGAGAATCGTTAGGCATGGAGGGGTGGCTCTGGCTTTGGAGGGCTGTGCACTGCGGTTGAAATTCTGGCTCTGTTACTGACTCTGTAGATCTGTGAGCACTGCTTGATCATTCTGAGATTTAGCATACCCCAGAGTGAAGTGAGATAATGACACCTACTCATGTGTTTGTTGTGAAGTCTAAATGAGCTATTGCACATAAGGAATCTATAATAATGTTCATTCCTTTCATAGTCTCCATGGGTTCTCAAAAAGGCTTATGAGTTATTTACTCCAATGTCCTGATTTAAAGGGGAAGAGACTGAGAATCGTCCCTCCGAAAGTCAGCTGCAGCGCTATGATTAGGAGACTCATTCCAGTGTCTTATCCCCTGCACAATGCAACCTCTCAGTCTTTATGCTGAGTACATTCTTGCTTTTCCTTTTGAAATATTTCCATAAGTAAGATGCTCTCTTGCTTTATTTCTGCCTAGAACACAGTTGCAATGCTGGGAAGTGCAGCAGCCTTTTGGAAACATAAAGATGACATCCAAAACTAGGGACAGTAGAGAGAAACATGAAGAGAATCTAACCCTAATAAATTCATTGAGCAACTGCACCAGCTCTAAAATGCTTACCTATTTCTCATTATATGAGAAAAACAAGTCTCTTCTTTTTTTAACGCTAATGCTTCAATCTAGTCATAGGTCAATTCTATTATTATACATTTTATTTTTGTCTTATTTTCAAACCTACAAGATATTATTGATTTATGCCATTACATTAGCTTTGCTCCCTCTTGGTGCTGCTAAATGAATAATAAACCAATTCAAACTTTAGTAGCTAGTTGGGTATAGTGGTGCATGCCTATAATCTCAGTACTCTGGGAAACTGAGGCAGGAGGATCACCAATTCAAATCCATCCTGGAGCCAAGCATGGTCATGCATGCCTGTAATCTCAGCATTTGGGAGGTGGAGGCAGAAGTATCACCACAAGTTTGAGTTTGAGGCCAGACTGGGCTACATAATGAGACCCTGTCTCAAAAACAAACAAACAAACAAATAAACCAACCAGCCTAGGCAAATTAACGACTTAGTGTGACCCTGCCTCAAAATAAAAAAGAGCTGGGGATCTATGTAGTTCATTGTGAAAATCTGGGGTTCAATCCCTAGCATAGGAAGAAAGAAAAAAGAAAGAAAGAAAGAAAGGAAGGAAGGAAGAAAGAAAGAGAAAGAGAGAGAAAGAAAGAGAGAAAGAGAAAAAGAAAAAGAAAACTTAGTGATCTCAAATAATAACCATGCATTACTTTTTATGAAACTGTGGGTGGGCTGAACAGTTTCCTTGGTCTAGGTCAATTTAAGCTGATCTCAGTTGAGATCTCCCTTAAGTCTGTTATTAGGTGGCAAGTCGCCTGGGGCTGAACAGGTCTGTAATGGCCCAGATCTATTCATCCACGCGGTATTCATACTCCAGTAGGCTGCCTGGGCTTGTTAACATGATGGTTCACAGGTCCAAGACAGTAACAGAAAGTGTATAAGACTTCATTTTAGGTTTAAAACAAGCACATCATTAGCTTCATTTCTGCCACACCCCACTGGTTTAAGTATGAATTAAGCTGAGTCCAGACTCAAAGGGTGGATGTGAGATTATAATGTATAAATATTTGTTTGCTTGCTTTTATCTGAACTGCAGCAATCTTTTGGAAACATAAAGATGACATCCAAAACTAGGGACAGTAGAGAGAAACATGAAGAGAATCTAACCCTAATAAATTCATTGAGCAACTGCACCAGTTGCTCAAAGGTAGATCATAGAAGCTAGAATTTCTCTTCTCCAGGCCTAGTCAATGAAAGTCATCTCTCCAACCTTTCTGTCTGGAGCAGCTGGCCATAAAGAAATCCTGACCTTCCTTGCCAGATAGCAGATCATAAGACCTGCATTTGATGAGAGGTTTTGCCTTACACAGTCAAAAGTAAATGATGCCAAATCTGGGCAGGCCTTGCTGAGTGTCCCCACTCAATCTATTAACATTAGGGCATGTCCTTTTGTCGAATCACTTTTCTACGTAGTTGTCCACACTTCAACCACACCCGTTCCACGAAGTCTCATAAAAAGCCAAAATATAGTAGCTCCTGGTGGCAGGTTCCCTAGAAAGGGCTAATAAGTTCTGTGCCCCTTCCTCATACCTCAATGTCCTATGAGTTTGCACATCTGCAGCTTTGTAGCATTATTTATAATAAGGTAGTGAACATATTTCCCTCAGTTCTGTGAGCTGCTCTAGCAAATTAGTCAAACCCAAGGAAGGGGGGCTAGGGATTTAGCTCAGCAGCGCAGCACCTGCCTGGCAAGGGCAAGGTCATGAGTTTGATTCCTGGTACCTGGAAAAAACAAAACAAAACAAAACAACTCAAGGAAGGGTTAGGAGAATCTGGATTTATAGCTAGTTAGTCAGAAACACAGGTAAAAGCAATCTGGAACATGCAGCTATCATTAGAAAGGGTAGGTAGCAATCCTGGGGACTGAGTCCTCTCCACCTGTGAGATCTGATTCTCTCTGCCAGCAGATAATTGAAGAATTGAATTAAAGGTACAGAGCTGAGCAGTTGCTTGGTGTGTAGAGAAACCCCTCTCCCCAGCGCCCTGGTGCCAGAAGTGATCTATGTTTTAAGAGTATGGTAGAAACTGAAGTGACACTTATTTTCTTTAACTCAAAGGGGAAATCAACTTCATGTTTTTAATAAAACAAGCTGAAAAATCACATTGCAAAAAGACATAAATATCAAGAGAGGAGTACACATGTCCACTTTTGCAAACACCTTTTACCGCCTTTTCCTCATCTTTCTTTTTACCTCTCAGATTTTCTATCACCATTTTTATTCTGTCTGAAGTATATAC